TGTCACATGAAAAGATATAAAATATTTACAAAAATGTGAGGGGTGTACTCACTTCTGTGAGATACTGTGTATATATATATATATATATATGAGCAATATCACTCGAGTACGAGAGCGATACCGGCTTTATATCAGCATGGTTGTGATTAGGCCAGAGGCACGAGGCCACAGGCTTCGTGCCGGAGGCAATCACAGCCGCTATAGAATGTCACATTTTATTATTGCCTGTTTCCACACATACATGTTTTACCAACTAAGAAGATCAGTACTTCTAGAGTTTCATCCCCCTATCTGATGTGAGCATAAGTATTGGGACAGTTGAACGTAAAGCAAATGTAAAAGTTTAAAAGCTAATATTTAATTACAAATCCCTTGCATGTAATCACAGCAGTAGGGCTTGGTCTAGTTCGATACTTTTTAGGCACCGACAGAATTGCCTCGATACCATCAAGTATCTAAAAACGTCTCGTCGTTCGGTACCAAATTTCGATACCTAAGGGGTTACACCGGTTACACTCAGAGATGTGGCGCACACGTGAGGCTGTAGTGCGAATGCGTCCCAGCCCCCTTAGATGTAAGACTACATTTACACTGGTTATTGATGTTTATGTTTTAAAATGAAAATGATCCTCGTCATACTGGCGTTTCCACTGCGCAGACCGGTCATTCAGTCATTCATTTCCAATGGAGAGTAGGGCGGGAGCTGCGTGGAGTTCCGATCATATGCCGATGTCCGTTCATACTACACGACCGAAAGCGCATGTTATGTGACCATTCATGCAAACTGTAGCATCATGCTACATAAGACAATAAATAAGATTTATATTCCACTTTTACTCAAAACTCACTTTAAACCACCATCGAGTGTTTGTAATAACTTCCGATTGCCATCTAATGTGTGTTTTGGCCATGTAATGTTGCTGAAATTAAATATGTTATTACCAGCGATCATGGAAGAGAGAACACAGGCAGACAAGCGATCATGGAAGAGAGAACACAGGCAGACAGCGCTGGAAGCTGCTAATGTTCATGCGTTTTTAAAACGAACACGCACTAGTGTAAATGTAGTCTAACAGATGTGTAAACTGAAGACTATTTGAGCTTTATTAAAACTATTTGCACTGATTTATTGTGTTGGTTACATTTTGTTCCTTTGTGCAGTGGCTCTGGAGATGAGTCTTTTGAGTTTGTATAAACGTCAACAAGCTGAAAAATAAAACCAAAAGTTTTTTTTTTAGATAACGTAATCTTGTTACAATTGATTTCATAAAATTGGTATCGAAAAAAGTATCGTTCAGGAACTGGTATCGAAGTCAAGGTATCGGAATCGATATCGAACATTTTTGAACGATACCCAGCCCTACACAGCAGTGAGTCTGCGACCCATAGACATCACCAGACTCTTGGTTTCATCCTTTAAAATGCTTTTCCAATCCTTTAATATAGCCAGTTTTAACTGTTGATTGTTTTGGGGAGTTTCTGCCTTTAGTCTCCTCTTTAGCTGGTGAAATGCATGCTCAATAGGATTTAAAGGGACAGTTCACCCAAAAATGAAAATTACCCAATAATTTACTCACACCATCCTAGGTGTATATGACTTTCTTCTTTCAGACGATAAACCGCAATCTAGCTTCCGCTAACTGTCGTATGCGTGTACACGAGAGAGTGGCTAGAGATTAAAGTTTTAAATATGGATATTTTTCTTACAAAAACGCACTTATGCACTTTTATTGGACCTCTATTGGACTATTGAATCTCACCTCCCATTCACTGGCATCATAAAGCTTGGAAGAACCAGGACAGTTTTAATATAACTCTGATTGTATTCGCCTGAAAGAAGAAAGTCATATACACCTAGGATAGCTTGAGGGTGAGTAAATTATGGGGTAATTTTCATTTTTGGGTGAACTATCCCTTTAAATCTGGAGATTGATTTGGGCAATCTAAGACCTTCCATTTCTTTGCCCTGATAAACTCCTTGACTGAACTGCCAGGGTGTTTTGGGCCATTGTCCTGTTGCAATATGAAGCACTTTCTGATGAGTCTGGTGGCATTTTCTTGAACATTGGTAGCTAAGATGCTTTTGTACACTTCTGCATTCATTCTGCTGCCACCATAATTTTTGAAGTCAGCAATAAAGATGAGAGAGCCTGTTTCAGAGGCAGCCATGCAAGCCCAAGCCATGACACCACCTCCACCATGCTTTACAAATGAGGTTGTTTGTCTTGAATCATTTGCGGTTCGTTTTTTCTCCACACTTTTGCTTTCCCATCACTTAGATAAAGACTAATCTTTGTCTCATCTGTCCATACAACTCTGTTCCTGTGTAGCTTATGCTGTGGAAGTCTCCTGTGAACAGTAGATTGACAGACCATCACCCCAGCTTTCTGGAAGTTGTTGGCGATTTTACAGACACAATTTTTTATATTTATGCTCACATCAGATAAGGGGATGAAACTCTAAAAGTGCAGATCTTCTTAGTTGGTAAAACACGTATGTGTTGAAACACCCAATAATAAACTTCATTCTATACCCTGTTTCAGAGGCAGCCATGCAAGCCCAAGCCATGACACCACCTCCACCATGCTTTACAAATGAGGTTGTTTGTCTTGAATCATTTGCGGTTCTTTTTTTCTCCACACTTTTGCTTTCCCATCACTTAGATAAAGACTAATCTTTGTCTCATCTGTCCATACAACTCTGTTCCTGTGTAGCTTATGCTGTGGAAGTCTCCTGTGAACAGTAGATTGTCAGACCATCACCGCAGCTTTCTGGAAGTTGTTGGCGATTTTACAGACACAAATTTTAATATTTATGCTCCCATCAGATAAGGGGATGAAACTCTAAAAGTGTAGATCTTCTTAGTTGGTAAAACACGTATGTGTTGAAACACCCAATAATAAACTTCATTCTATACTTTTTTCTCATATTCATCTCTTAATCATATTTACAGATTTCTTAACTCCACAGAAAACAGCAGTTTTGTCTTTACTGTCCCAATGTTTATGGAGGGTACTGTATGTATGTGTGTGTGTGTATATATGTATATATATATATATATATATATATATATATATATATGTATACGTATACGTATATATGTATATATGTATGTATATATATGGGAAAATCAAAACAAAATTTGGGATAAAATAAAATCAGACTCTAAAAATGTATTTTTTGTTAAACTTTTAATAAATTGTTGTTAAATTATTATTTTTTTTTTCAGTTGATTAGACATGTTTTTGATTACTAAAATGTAATTCAACCATTAAAAATCAAACGGAAAAACACAGTTTGCGAAAAGAAATAAAACTGATTTCACAGGGCCCTACAGTTGTCCGAAGTGCTGCAGTTATTCGGTTTTTCTTTAGCAGATGTTTACATCCCATCGATCTGAATATTATTTATTCACCAAAGCCAATTTTATTCTCATTTTGTGGTTTGGAGAATGATTATTTTAGATATAGCATGTGCAGAGTTTGTCCTAATTGAGCATTTAGAAAGTTGTTCTACTTTACAGAGAGAATGGGTGTGCTTAGCTTGACTTTTCCCATCATCCTCTTCCCTCCCTGGGCCTCGGCTCAATGGAGAGCGAATGGCACTTTGCTGGTGGGCAGGAGGATGACAATTCTGTTGGCTTGTCTGAAATATGATTGGAGTAGCAACACACGACAGTGAAATATTGATGAGTGACTGAGGGGTCCAGATGGAGCTGCTACCTGCTGAGTGTTATGAGCACAGACACCCGTCAGCTCCCATCATCCATGCCCCATCTCCCCTGACAGAGACTCACTCCTTAAGAGCAGTGTGTGTGTGTGTGTGTGTGTGTGTGTGTGAGATGATCCGGTTAGAAGCCCTCAAGAAAAGCCACACAACAGTGAACCAATAACCTTGTCAGTAGGAGAATTAACACAAATCGATAATAAACATGTATGTAAGCATAAATACAGAGTTCAAATAGGATTTCAAATGACAGGAACAGTTTGAAAAGAAGATTCAGCTTAGGATTTTCCCCAGTCAAACCTTGGAAATATATAAATGTCTTGTGGTGCAACCAAAATGCATAAACATAGAAGAGACAAAAAAAAGGTCTAATTAAGGTCTAAATGTCTTGTGGTGCAACCAAAATGTATAAACATACAAGAGGCAAAAAGAAAAAAAGATTAAGGTCTAAATGTCTTGTGGTGCAACCAAAATGCATAAACATACAAGAGACAAAAATAAATAATTTCATTAGTTCAGGTTGTAAAATGTCAAATGGTCACTCGTATGCTCACCAAGGCTGCATTTATTTGATCAAACATTCTGTAAAAAAAAAATTCAAAATATTATCATTTAAAATAACTGCTTTCTATATTAATATACAGAATGGCAGAAATGCAAGATACAAACTCGCAATTCTGATTTTTTTTCTCTCGCAATTGCAAGTTTATATTCACATATCTCGCAGTTCTGATTTTTTTATTGCAATTGATGACTTTTCTCAGAATTGTGAGAGAAACTCACAATTTGCGAGTTATAAAGTCCAATCCTGAGGAAAAAAATACTATTTTCGTACATTATTTAGTGTGTATATATATATATATATATATATATATATATATACTGTACATATACGCACACATATACACACACATAGTATATAATTAAAATATGTGTGTGGCCTTAGTCTACTCAGTAAATGAGTGCGGCATTTCTCAAATGAAACAAAAGCGCTGTTAGTTTTGAATGGTGTATAATGTAGAGAACTGTGTTTAGAGTTTAAAGCACGTAATGTGCTTGTAGTTTTGCAGACTTGGTCTAAAGATTGGGCATATGAGTGAATGGTTTCACTGAGTGGGCCTCAAGTACCACTTTTATATATTTTTTTTGTAAGTGCAGTTGTCACTACCTGAATATTTCAGGTAATTCGGAGTTAATCCGGTTGTAGAATGTGATTGTTACTCTAAATTACTGAATTGTGTGTGTACAGAACAGGATTAAGCTCTAAAATGTGAATTTAGCTGCAATGTGTATGTGGCCTTAGTCTACTTAAACCCGCCCCGCGACTCAAGTTTATCTGCCTCCACTTTTGAGTGCAATGTCCACATCTCAGAATAGAATCAACAGCTAATGAATAGAACCCAGCTTTAATGACTGTGCAAATTGAAGTAGTACACTCAAATATATTCTCATGGTGTTACGCCGTCGTAGGAACAGAATAATACATGGTGAATCCGTTTGAAGTTCAGAGGCGGGTTGAGTTAAATGGATACATGTCGAAGATCCAGTTTTTTTCCTTCATGGAACTATTATAATCAATCGTGGTATTATAATCAAACCAACATTTTCTTACAAAAAGGATGAGTCACCTAAAATATTAATATTAAAACGTGCTGCAGTACAGTCAATATATTGTTCAGTATTCTCTTATTGTAAATCGTCATATTAAATTATCAATTTAAAAACTATGCTGTAAATTGAGTTTAATGGAGTATATTCTGTTGTAATTATAAGATATAATTTACAGTAATTAACTTTTTGCTCTTTCTTTTTCAGACAATAGGAGGTCCGTTATTTCCCCAGCAGATGGGACTGCAGAAGTCAGGCGGGACGGTATCAATGCCTGCCACCTGGTCAGACCCAAGCGTGAACATCAGCCTGGATTTCCTGTCGGCAGGCCTGAACCCTCCCAAACCCACACAGCCCACACTCAACACCATGATGCAGCAAGGTTAGAAATCCTAAACAAACTGTCGATATTGTAGTTATTCTTTCTACCCTCACAGTTATCTCCATGATTCAGGTCAGATTGTCTTGCCTTGAGTTGTGAAAAGTTTGTTCCTTGAGGTATCAGCAATAATCCTGCTACTTATGGCGTGGTACGACTCGGCTCGGCTCGGTTTGCGACTTTTCTGAGCGAGAGAGAAAAAAACATTTAATACAATCTTCTACATGCCTTTTGTCATTTGATTGATAGTTCATACTTTTTTTGTAGTAAAAGCCCTTTTAGTGTACTTTTTATAAAATGTCCATCTTCAGGTTGTGTTGCTTCTGCTTTGAAATTTTTACAGATTTTTTTTATAAAGTAAGTATTTCAAGATCAGAGCTTTCAAGATTCAACATTTACTTAATGATGCAACTTAGATTCACTTGGATATCCATATAACACAACAGAAAAGCAAATTTCATATGCTGAAAACTACATTTTATTCCATCCCATGTTCAAGCTATTCTAGCCGTCTCTCTGACTTCATAAGCCACTTTGAAGACATGAGGCATCTGTCTTGAATCACGAATATTCCTTCCTTAATTAGAAGGACAGTCTTTTCATTAGTTCTGGACTTCTGGGTTCTTGTTTGTTCCCTTGACAGGATTGCAGTAGAGTGTGTTACCATTGTGATTTTTCTAAGTAATAGATTTTTCAGTTCTTATTACAACCACAATAGCTTTTGAGGTTGTATCACAAAAATTTTTGTATTGACGACAACCATGGTCTACAGTCCTGTGCCCCCCTTAACCTAACCCTAGGATGTCCAAAAAATGGTTTAATTTAAATTCAAGGTTTAGAATAACTGAAAAATCTACTTTTGTTAAAAAGTGCTTAACATTATAAAGGAGTGTGTGTGTGTGTGTGTGTGTGTGTTTTGCATTCACGAGAAACAAATACGTGTTTTGGAAGAGGTATTACAAATGTTTAATTATTTGCAATACTCCTCACACACTCTATAGTGTCACATGTAGTGCAACCAGTGTCTAAAATACACACACACACACACACAAAAAAACCTTAAAGGTCCCATATTGTCAAAACTGAAATTTCCTGGCTTTTTTCACGATTACTGAGGTCTAGGTGCTATGTAACTACCATATAAGTTTCAAAACAGTCAGTCCACAGTAAAATTCACACAGC